CTTAGTAAAATAGCCGTGTATGATCATAGATGCTATTGAACCACCTGCCAGTATCCCTGTGGTTCTGGTTTCAGTGTCTAAATAATGTTGAAATGCTAGTCGGATAAGAACATTTTGGCTCTCATCACTATCACACTAGCTGACTCGCCCACTTTTAAACTGTCGGCTAATAGCTAGTAAACTCGCTCGATGTAGTCATGTTCACTATGTAACTAGCAGGTTGTAAACAATCCGCGAGAAAGTTATGGCTGGTTATTTAGTAAACTAGTCGTGTGTTATCCTAGTCTACTACTACCTGCAGGTATCCCGGTGGTTCTGGTTCCAGTGTCTAGAAAATGTCATGATGCTAGTTGGCTACTGATTAAGTGGAAAATTGTGTGTCAACATCACTATCGCACTAGCTGACTCGCCCGAGTAAACTCGCTCAATGTAATCTTTGTGCAACGAAACGGTTAACCGCGAACCTCGCGTGCTCTCCTGCAATTTCTTGAGAACGGTGTTATCCACAATTATATGTTTATTATTGGATTTTACCTCCTAGGGTTAAGGCGCGTGCTTTGTTTTAAGGCTTTTTTTTAGACCGTCGGTGCTCTTGTTTCGATTAACGGTGTAATCAGCAGCTTTATTGACGGTTAGCTCGTGCGTTTCAACCTGTCACGGTGATTTTACTCCTTCACATTTAAAAATTACGCACTCTTTACACGCTTTTCACCGAAAGGAGAAGAAACATTTATTTTTACTAGACAAATGGGTTACTTTTCTGCCAGGAATAAAAAGTAAAAAAAAAGAAGGTATTTCTAATTTCTGTTTTGACAGGGCTGAGTACGTCAAATAAAACTTTCCAATGTTTGAAATATCTACCTGGGAGGGTGAGAGAGAATGATAGAAAGAGAGTGGCTTTCAAATTTATGACCTCTTCCCCCCTTGTTATGTTGTAAATAAAATTGACTTAGGAATTGAAAGCTCACGAACCTCCTCGGTAGTAGAGATGAATCTGTAAACTTTTATTTATTGTCCTGGAGTTTCTGGAGAAGTGGAGAAAAATCATTACAAACAATAATACCAAGTGGGAGATTGGACGTTATCGCTTCACAGCGGGGGGCGGCGCTGGAAATGAAAATCCATTAAGGGACGGTCTTGTGATTTGCATTCTACAAGGAAACTCTCGATACAAACTCGTGTAAATTTCTAAATTGCTAATAACGATAATGTAAAGTGCATGGCGGTGCAGGGGGGGGGGGAGGTGTTGTTGTTATTTTTGAGCCGAAAACAAACAAAAACAAATTTCATCAATCGCCTCTGATGCATTCTCCACATCACGATTTTTTTTTTGTTCAAATTATTTTAAAAGCGAGCATTTTCAATGCACGAAACTGGAAAGGGCCCGGGGTTATTTTAAAAGTGTTTCTTAAAATAAACCAAACAGATGTTCCATTCCCTCCTCCCTATCGTCGAGGACTGAAAAATCAGCTCTACTGCCTCCTTAGCTTTTTCATTCACGCATGGTCTTTTTGTTAATCCAAAAAGCTCGGAATTGCCAATAGCAATTGGCACTCTTACTTTATAAGCTCGGCTGTGTTCACAGTTCCTTAAGGTTCGAAAATCAATAATCCAGTGAAAGAAGTGGCTGCTGTTTTTAGGTTCCAGAAAATTATTTTTTAATGTAGTTTCGTCGTTTTATTTTCTGACTATTTGGATCAAGATTTGTTTACCGTTAAAATGTTTACTATCATCACTTAATTTTCAATACTGTCAAGTGAATAAATAATCATAAATTAATTAATAAAAAATAAATAAAGTGTTAAAAATCGTTGGCAATGTTGCACTGAGTTTATGTTCACAGATATATAAAACCATTTATTAAAAACTTAATTATCTCTATTGTAAACATCTTTAAGATTGTTTTGCCCTGATGACCAATTTTATGGTCAATCATCAGGTCAAAACAGTCAAAAAGATGTCTACAAATCGACAAAATTAAAGTTTTAATAACAAATTTAAAAATTTTTTGAGCATAACTCACCCAACATTACCAGGGACACGGTGCATGGTCAATTTGTAGACATCTTTAAAATTGTTTTGTCCTGGTGATGACCTTAAAATTGGTCGAAAGCTTGGCAGATAATTGAATTTGTTGTTGTTATCCAGACCATACCGAGTTCCACCGGTCCATCGATAAACAAACCTTACGGACCGTTTGCGAATTTGTACGTGCATAGACGAATGTAATTAAATTTTTTTGCTGTCGAAAATTTAAAATTCGGGCTAGTGGCAATTAGTCTCATTCCGCTTGAAGTGTTTAATTCGATCGGCGTTAATATTTCTATTTTTTTAATTCTCAATCAATTAGTAGTCTCGTGTGCGTAAAACGGGGATTAGCGTGATAAGCGATCCAGAATTTTTTTCTCTCTATCTACGGCGTTTTCGACCGTATTGGTTAAGGTTCGTTAGAAATATTTCATTGAAGCCTTCGTGCGGTTTTAAGATCGCGTGTTTCGAACCACATGAAATAATCTCGAAACTGTTCTCATGTAAAATTTTTCTCCTGCGAAACGGCCGTGTCCCATTCCAATTCCCTTTCAGGGAAGATCATATAGACAGATCCACATAGATCTCTCTTTCTCTCTCTCTCTCTCTCTCTCTCTCTCTCTCTCTCTCTCTCACACACACACACACACACACACACACACACACACACACGCATAAAACGGTTCTTTAAAAAATTAGCCATAGGAGATGGCTGATTATTAGCGCGAAAAAAGGGAAGAGAGGAAAGCGGCGGCAGGCCAAAACTACGAGTATGCACCAAAAACGACGAAGAATGTATTTTGGTCGCATTCATATAATTTGAATACTAAATGCCGTAGTTCATTGTCAAAATCCTATCATTGCCCATGTTTTTTATTGTCATAAGCCGCATTATTATTATTATTATTATTTTAAAATAATGCTAATAGTTGAATCAACAGAGCTACACGGCAGAGGGCCAAACACTCGACGCAAGGTTCATTGAATATTTATTTAAATAAGATCTAAAAACCAGTCGACTCTGGACAGGTTTTCGCTGGGATGCTACGACTTGATATACGCCCCTGCTGAGCGTGGAGAATTCTTAACGAAATTCATGGAATGACCGGCACCTCCTCGGTCCACGGCCAGGTTTCAATCTGGAACATCATTAAATCGACCTTTTCGTGTTTTGTTTTTTGAAATTTCTGTGCACGTGATAAAACGTTTTTTAACGGTATAAAAAAAATGTACGCGGACGAAATTTGAGAAAGTTATGCGCAAATTTGCCCACCTCGATAACGGAAGAGAAAAAGGATCCAAAGTTGAATAGTAATGGAAAATGCCTTCCAGCGGCCCCCATTTCGATCGGTTGGTCCGAGTAAGGAATTGGACTCGTTTCATCGAGGTTCAATTTCAAATAATTTGTACAGAATTTGGATTGAAATATAGTATTTCTACTTTACGTCAGTGAATGCATCCAAAATCCCCAAAACCTGGGGAAACGTAATAATCTATGAAGACCATAGGCTTTGAACCTATACGTTTGGATGACAAAAACAGATAGAATCTTCCGCCTCAAAATGAATCCAAAAGAAAAATGAGATAAACGTTAGAAATGCCAGAACCTACCATAAAAGCACCCTCACCAAAACTGCCAAAATACCGTTAAACGGGCAAGACTCAGGAGAGGAAGAAACAGGCACCAATATTCAGCTAATGGTGATAAATAATTATAAAAAATTCAACAGATCTTTTTAGCTTTTGAACGATTTGAAAATATTATATACCCAATGAGTACGTATAATACTTAAAAGTAAAATTGAGCCGATGGCTTTTTTTCCATGTACGTAAGAGGCTGTTGTAAGTTCAGTAGACTTCATTGATGATGATGATGATGGTGCTGGATAATAGGAAGTGTGGGTTTTTGCCCAAGCATCCTTGTGGTTTCTTGTACTTACCTAGTTCTTTAGTTCAGTTCAATCGATTCGGCCGTTCTCCTAGGATATGCTAGGTCATTGACTGTCGTTGCTACAATTGCTTTCCCTGGGTTTTCTTTGTATCCCAGGCTATGTCAACATTGAGCAGTTCGCATTCGAAGATGTAATATATACATTGGGATCATAATTGAACATACCCATTTTGTGTAGATGTTTTCTTAGATCTTGTGTAGTCCTACCACTCTGTGCTTTGCCCTCTTTAATTAGCTGTAAGTTTGCCAGTCTTGGTAAGGGTTGTGTTAACGTAAGCTTACTGTGTTAAACTCGCGAGTTTATCCACATCGAAATGATGAAGGATGAGATGAGTGTGTAGATACTCTTCTACTTTTGTATTTTTCGATCCATTCTGTGTTTGTTTTTATTATCCCAGGAAAACGTTCGGGGGTATATTGGCCTTTGCAGTGCCTTAGCTTTTTCGTTACCCTAAATTCCCTAGTGTACTGGTATACAAGATATCAGGTTGTTGTTTCTCCAGGTTTTGGAGATTTTGGATATATCCACTGATTAATTTTGATGTAATAGGATTTTATCTATACAAGAAAAAAATTAATACAAGATAACTCATTAAATATGGAAAACAATTTTTTTATATGTAAATAACACTGGACAATCACCATTTATGTTTTATTTTTTATCCGATTTGTTTTCTGATCTGTAAAAATAATCGTGGGATTGATGATTTAAAAAAAAAGAATGTTTGAGTGAAGGCTCGTTGTCGGGAGTGGTTGTAAAGTGGGCTGGGCTGTGGATTTGGAAATAAATCCAAGCAGCAGCGGCATAGTCTGTATGCAAATTAACATGGTCGAAGATGACCGTAGCTCCAGCTCCATTGTTCAGTGTGTGGCCTCCGTCGATATTTTATGGTGGTCCCCCTTTCCCTCTTTTTATCCCTTCTTTTTTCCTTTTTTCCTCTGCTCGCCCTCTTCTTTTTTGTTATCTTCTTCTTCTCTTTTACATGTTTTTAATGTGTTTTTTTTGTTCTGTCTGTTCCAGACACCCGCTGTTTCCCCTCCTCGCGCTGATCTTCGAAAAATGTGAATTGGCGACGAGTACCCCGAGGGACCCAGGCGTCGCGGGCGGAGACGTCTGTTCCTCAGAATCGTTCAATGAGGATATAGCGATATTTTCGAAACAGGTAAGTCAAAGGCTAAACTCTATTGTAAATAGAACGGCTTATTATAAAATAAGTTTGCATGTCACAACTGTCACAACATACAAACCTGGCAAATCTTTGTATAATTTCATTTTATACATTTTTGTAACTACAAGTTGCAATAAATGATTAAATTCGTAATGATAGAAATTAATTAGATAAATTAAACTATGTCAGTAAAATTGGGAGATAAGTACTAAACTATTTGTTCTGTCTTATTACTTCATTACGTCTATGTTTTCTCAGTTAAAAGCTGTTCATTCTTGTATATACAGTAAATATAATGAGCCCTCTTCCTAATGAAAGAAAGGTATTTGTACTAATTATTAATCGATAAGATTTCTTCCTGATAGCTGTGTAATAAACAACTTTTTTACTGCTTTAATTAGTAAACTTCCTGTAGGGTAGAATTTATTATTTCAATGATAGTTTTAGATTTAACGATTCCTTTGGTTATTATTCAGCGATAAATGAACAAAGTGTAAGGCTGTATGTTTGGCCATGTTTTGCACGAGTGATTGATTCTCAGCTGTTGCCATGTATATTGCCTTCCCGTCAGAATTGAATTTTAGTTGGACTCCAGACAGGGCACTGCCCCTAACATAGCTAAGAAGGTATGTGGCTGGATAGGAGAAGTGACAGAATATCGTGCAGAAATTGCCATTAAGAAAAGGAGACACCAGAACAAAAGATTCTATGTAGGTTCGAGTCTTTCAGCTGGGAGAGGAAAAGCCGCAAACAAGATCCTACACTAATGAGCCGCTGGCAAAGCTATGGAGGTTGAGTAACAACTTGAAGCTGGCCAGTGATTTATAAAATTAGAGGAGCAGAATAGATCTGCTGATGTCGAGGTGCTGAAGGGCTTGTGGCCAACCTCCTTATCCCTAGCCCTATCCCTGGTATTCAAGGAAATCCCATGGAAAAGAATTGTAGCAGTGACAGCCAATGACCTAATACTTCCGAGAAGAAGATTGAGTTGATTGCACTGAACTAGAGAACTAGAAAGGTAAATTAAGTCAGAAAGCTGCAGTACCTGGGGAGCACAAATCCCTACTTCCTAGCATCCATCTCTATCATTCTCATCACCATCCAGTATGTGTAATGTTTGGGCCTTTTTTTATTTTGTGCTCGAGTGGTTGAACAATTCGCAGCTGCCACTGTATATATAGGCGTTTCTTAAAAATTTAATTCTAGTTGGACTCCTGACAAGGCAAAAAGAAAAGCAGCGAAAGAAGTACAGACAGAAGAAATACTGTGCAGGTACTGCCAAGGAAGAGGAGACCCATTCTGAGGTCTGGATAGATTCTTGCACTAAGAGAGGCAAAGCCGCAAGCAAAATCCTACACTAAGTGGCTACTGGCAAGGCTAAGGAGGTTCACCAACAATCTGAAGCTGGCCAGTAATTTATAAAATTAGGGGAGCACCTGACGACCATAGATCTGCTGAGGTCGAGGTGTGGAAGGTCTTGTGGCCGCCTCATTTATCCCTATCCCTTTAAAAATTGAAATTTATCCCGATTAAAAATTATTAACCTGTGTTAATTTTAACACTTTTAACATGTAGTTGTTATTAATCACTACCCTCTAAGCATCATTAACCGCTTTAATAAATGTTGTATCGTTAGAGAAGAACTCGCCTACAAATTTGTGTATAGCGAGTTCTTATAAGGCATCGGTTTGAAACCCGTTTCGAGGCATTTTAAAATCAGAGTCGGTCAAGTTTCAGTTTTGATATTGAAATTACGTAGAAAGCGTTAAGCCCTGGATTCCATTCGGGTCGAAACGAAGCTAAGCTAAGAAGTCATTTATAAGCGAAGAGGGCCCTCCGGGAAGTGCTAATAAAAAACTGCTGTTCCATTAGGTTTCCCACAGTTCAGAGATACATCTCGTTTTTTTTTCCCGATGCATGTAATTCCAAAGTCGTTTTTTCCCCAGTGATTACTCGTCTAGTGGTTTAGTCTCAAATTTTGTTTTATTCTTCTTCTTGTTTTACTGTGTGATGTTCTGCGGTACGGTTCCAAGGGGTAATTTTTTCCCGAAGGAAAACTGAAGACAGTTTAAAAATATTGAAAGAAAAATTCTTTCTACTGGGGGGGATAATATAATGCTCTTGGCCAATTTCCGCGTGGCTCCATGTCGCGGGTACCTCAAACCCGGACAGAAGGACCAGGATATTAGTATAATAAATAATGGACGTTGGTCATCATGATGGCAATGCGCACAATTTCAACAGCAGCTCTAGCAGTGGGATCCAGTGCTTTGGTTGAACCATAACCTCTGTTGTTTTTTTTTATCCACGAAATTCTTTTCCTACCTCTCCCCTCGATTTTCCCTTCCAGTCCTTAACCAGTTTATATTTATCCGGTTGACGTAGAACTTGACTGAAATACCTATGTTTCCTTCTTTTTACCGTTCTCTTAATTTCTGCTGTTTTGTGACCCTTCTGAGTACCTCAACGTTAGTGACGTATTCTGTTCAACTTATTTTTACCATTCATGTTATTGGTCCGCATCTCGAATGTATCATGTTTTTTCATAAAGGCTTCTGTTAGTGGCAAACTTCGACACCATATAGCAGCGGTGAGAAGACTTAGCATTTCAATAATCTTATCCTTCTCTAAACTCTAATCTTATCCTTAATCCCAGATCAAGTTCGTCACTGCACCCTTTTCATTTTAGTAAATGCCGTCCTCGCCTTTTCTATCGTTGATTTTGTTTCCCTTGGATGCACCACTTCTCACCCGCTTAAATATTGTAAATTTAAAAAAAATATATATATATTTTGTATTTAAGACCTATTTTAACGTCACACTTACCCCGTTTTGTAAAATACTTGGAACCTATGACAAAATCCAAGTTGCATAGACTCCTTTTTTGGCCAACATATCTATGTTCCGAATGCACAGGGAATCATGCTAGGATCAGGTCATTGGTATCATTGACTTCCGCCAGAATTTCCTTACAATTCCTTACGCTCTTTGCCTTAACCTCGCATGAGGCCGTGCGACCTGATTGTCAGAGAAAATGACTTCCTTGAATGGGTTCCTAGTCTTTTTTATTTATTTGGTGCAGTGTTCAGTTGCTAGAATTTCAGACTGGAAAACTGTAGAGTATTTACCTAAGGTTAAGAGTCGTTCTTCTGATTCACTCCGAGAACTCCAGCACCCTGCCTCTGTCCATTTTCGAGCGGTCATTATATCACTAGGAACTTCGGAGGTATTCCTTTGTCCCATTCTTCCCTTTCTGGTGCATAAATGATAGAAGTTCAATTCCAACGTATTCTGTTCGAGTTAACGATACATCTAGGTGTAAACTTGTCTAAACACCTAGTTATCTTAATATCGTGGCATAGTCAGAAAATAATTGGACCCAATTACCCTAGCGTTCAGCTTTAAACCGCAGAGCTGTAAAGTAATGGCAATTAGCTCGATACATGCAACATATATTATCAAGATTTTTTTTTGTAGAACGAATCGTCCTGTCGTTTGTTTAGCAGTACAGACCCAAGTCAAATAATTCAAACTCCATCACCCGAGAGGTCGACAAGATGGACTTGAAACAGCAACTTGTATTATTCTAATTTATTACTTTTTCAGGAGTGAAGACAAAATATCTATTTTTACGCCTCAGTCGAGTTTTTCTTTCAGTCTCCTTTTTCCCTTCCATCTGTTTCTTACTCTGAACACCCTCCGGGCGTCTATATTTATCTGCTACCCCTAGGAAAGCTATGCTCGCCCAAGACGTATCCCTCCAGAGACTCTTGCAGCCTTGGCTTTTCTAATTTCTAGAATTCAGACAGTGCTAGTAATTCGCAATTAGATAGCTAGGTTTTTTCTTAAATTTTCATTTAAAGTTAGTATACAACTTCAGGGGCCAATAGAAGCAATACAGTCATAACACAACGGACACAAAATAATGAAATATGGTAAATGCTCCTTGGTATGTCCGCAATAGTAATACACATAGAGCTCTGAATATCCCGCATCTCGGCATCAAGATTTTCAGTGGTATTCACGATTTGTGTTGGATGTTAACGCTTGTTAAGTCGAGTCGAAAATGATCGATAAGATTGTGAACGCCCATTTTCATATTTCGAAATTAACATGTCAGTTCTTCGTCGTAGTTTGGAAGGAAGAGGATTTTTTCAAAATGCCAAAAGTTAGTCGAAAGATTTCTTAAGTCTTTGATTCAAAATGGGCGCGCTGTCCTACTTAAGCTAAAACAAATAACTGAACTGACCAATAAGAAGGAGATAAAACATAATGACATAATGAACATAAATATATAGTTGATAAAAATCCAATGCCTCCATGAAGGTATGAGGATAGGTCAGGAATTAATAAAAGATATGTGTTAGTCGAATTTAATTAAAGCGTATCTCAAAATAAAAATATATAACAAACAACCAGCTGTTCAATGCTTGTCGATCATGTTTGTTACTTAAGTCCTAACGCTAACAGTCTGACTGCTATTCAACTTGACAGCTAACACAGGTCCAACTTTAGATCGAGCAATGTTAAGTAGCTGATTCTAACAGACCTACGTCATATTGTTTTCGATCTAACACGACTTAACAGATTTAACAGGGTTGACACAAAGATCGTGAATCTTCAAAGCCACCCGAAGCCAAAAACGTTATAGTCGTAGTATAGACGACTGAAGAGGACAAAGCCATTGGAGTTAGTTATTTAAAAAGTTACGAGGTTAACTCAACTCGATAAACTATGACAGTAATGACACAAGTCTAGTTATCACTAATTATTGTCAACAATGCAGCAGTTGTGTTTGTATGTTTACATTTAGCAAAAAAATTATTGTATCTGGTGGACATATTCTCAGACGGAATTGCCCAAATTTCAATAGGTGTCAAAACGAAGAAAACGATTCGCATTGGCTTTTTTATGTGTACAGGCCTTACAAAGATTAATAAGTGATCAGGAGGAAATGTAAAAAAAAGCTCATTAAGGAGAGGTAGGGGTGGAAG